TGATAGGCAGGTTTGGGTGAGTGTATGTGGGCACTTAGAATGGTGAATTTAGCTACCAGTCAAGTTGCTCCATAAGTGGGTGCTAAGTGCAATGGGACACTTTGCTTGTACCTTGTCAGTTGAGATATTTCTGAACATGGGTTAAGGTCTAGCACTCTTCTAAAAGAGCACTAAATCAAAGAGATCACAGAGTAGAGGGTGGATTCCTCTGAGCAGCAGTACTGGGAGAGATTCCTCCCACTTCATTTCATGCCTGGAGCTTGCACCTTGCAATGCACCTAGAGGTAACAGAACTACAACATCCAGCTGCCAGAACCAGGCTTTCTTTTCCTAGTTCATGTCATTCTCCTGTGCAACACAGAAGGTCTAGCACACTTTCAAGGAAGTGATAAGCTCATCTTTACAATGAGCATACATAAGCCCAGCAAACACTTTTCAATGACCAGTTAGATATGGCACTAGCAGAATCCTCTGCAGAAGCCAAATCTCTCCAGCAAGTCAAGTCAAGTCAAAATGGCTATGGAGGGCAATTCCCAGGGACCAGAGGGGAAGGGTCCTATCAATGGGAGCCTAAAGTAGCCAAAAGAAGATGGGCAAATTCTACCCCGATTGTGTCAACAACCACATCATCAATGAAGTGTGATAGGTTGTATCCTCAGCCAAAACTGCATTGTTAAATGAGGAAAACACACTACTTTAAAACCAGAACAGCTAAAAATAACTTTAAGCTAACTTTAAGAAAGGCAACATTGTTAGGACCTGGCATATAAAAATGGTACCTGGGCATCCTAGTGCTACAATTAGGGGAACATGAGGATGATCCCTTGATATTAGCAAAAGAATTATAATTCAGATACTCCCATATTCAAGTTTTACTCATAATACACTATTCTGTTTAAACTTCTAAGCTGGACTAGGATGGTGTTCTAATTCTGTCCTAGTATTATCTATCCTGGCACTGTTTTTCTTTAACAGTGCCAAGATAGATAATACTAGGACAGAATTAGTAAATGTCCTGGTGAATTAAAGTCCTCCAACACATCTTAAGTAAACTGAAAGACCCAGTAGTCCAAGAAGAAAAAAACAGGAGTCATCTACAACATACAATGTAAGGGCTGTAACAGCCGCTATGTATTGTAGGACAGACAAGCAGAAGACTAGCAGAGCGCATCCATGAACAACAGCTAGCAGTCAGAAGACACAATGAAAACTTAATCTCACAACACATGGACAGACTCAACCATAGTTTCAACTGGAAAACTGAGCATCCTAAACCAAGCTAAATCCAAAAACGCTAGGGAATTC